ATAATATGTTGTAAATCTTGTGAACAATACTAAACTTGAAGACTATTGTGGTTATTTACAGTTGAGTACTTTAATATAGTTTTAGGGTTAGCAGGTGTCACAAGCACCAAAATCATACAAGACAACTAAACTCCACAAATGAGACACACTCCATGGATCAAGTCGTTGGACTTTGAAGATTCAACACCAAAAAGAGTAAAGACCCTCTCCAAGGCCTTCTATTTACTGGCTTGGAAACCACTCCCACTAACACTCACTAACTCCTCTTAGGATTGGGAAAATTCCTTGATAATTTTCCCTTCCTTGGACAGTTGAGACAAGTCACCCTTTGCTTTGGATAAGCTGACGACTTGTGGTCCAGACAAACACTACAAGAATTTCGCGGATTAGCGAGGAAATTTAGCCGGGATATAATTTCAAGCTATTTTCTCACTAATTAGCGAGGGATTAGAGAAGGACAGTGTTCCTCTCTAATCCCCCGCTAATTAGCGAGAAAATAGCTTGAAATTATAACCTTCGCTAAATTCCCTTACTAAATAGTGATTATTTTGCGACCAACCTTTATCTCCTCGCAAATCCTTCACTAAAGTTAATTATCTAGCGACAAACTTTGGTCCTTGCAAATGCCTCACAAATCCCTCTCCAAATTGTTAGAAAAAATTAAAAATTAATTTTTTCATCTAGCGAGGGAGTTTCCTTGTCCAAATCCCTCGCTAATGAGCTATAAGTATAGTCCTCGCAAATCCTTCGCAAATTAGGGAGGAAAAAATTTTTTCGCCAATCCCTCGCAAATAGACGAATATGTTCCTTGCAAATGTCTCACAAATTTAGAGCACAAGTCCCTCACAAATTACTACTAAATCCCTCACAAATTTAGAGAAAAAGTCCCTCACAAATTGCTTTAAGATTATTTTCCTTATCCTCTTATCTTGTCCAATATATATATATATATATATATACATACACGTCTATTGATAGAATTATTGTATTCAATAATTCATGAAACTCATTGAACTTCAACAATCTAACCATTAAATTCAAATTTATTGATTAAAAGATCAAATACACAAATTTTTAGACTTAATTTATTAAATAAGAAATTTAATATATAACGTAATTACACTAATTAATAAGTAATTCTTTTAAGAGTTACTCTTGATGTAACTGGATTTTCACTCATATATATACATATATTTTTTTAAAACCCACATATATATCATCATAAATGTTAAATATAATTTATATGTTTATAATGTGTAAGTTTTGTTTTCTTAATTTTGATAATTTAAAATACTTTTGTTCATTTTGATTTAGATATGAATTTAGTCTGTGTAAGTTCATGTTTTCTCAATTATAGTTCTTATAAATATTTTAATTTATTTTTGTCCTTATAAATATGCATTTTTCTAATTTTAGTTCCTTAAATATTATAATTTTTCTTTCATTGTTAGTTCATGTAAATTCGTACTAACAACTAAAATTAGAAAAAAAAACTTATTTCAACTAAACATTAAAGAAGAAAAAAACATTATAAAAATTGAAACTGAAAAAGGATAATCTTATAAGGATTAAAAATAATTGATAAATATAAATCTACTTTATATATAT